ACCCCAGACCCCTCATAGCCCCCCCTTCCGATAACCCGGCATATCTGATAATCCTGCACCCCCTGGGTCCTAAAGGTGCCAGATTATTGGAAGTTTACTGTATGTTAGGTGGTGATGAGTTACAGCACCTTCAGGGTAATGGTATTAAGTTTAACTCAGTGGCACAGCAGCCCCCTTTAGTATTTTCAACTGCTCCTACTGCCAGCCAATAACAACAGATTAAGAGTTGCTGACAGTGTGGGGGACAGCGACACTGAAATATGTCCATGGATTGTGGGAAAACAGTCTCCCTCACAGATAGCTATTCAGTGATTCTTGGCATGCAGAGGGAACCATTTTTTTGGCCAACATTTCCCACATGACCTTGCTCATTTTCCCCCAGTTCATTTGGTCTTTACCATGAGTAAGGAAAAAACAAAACAGCCTCGCTATCTCACTGCTGTCATCTGTACCACTGCAGTGCTGACCCCAGGAGAAGCTAACTTTCAAAGCTTTGACGCTGCAGGGGGTAGCCGAGTTAGTCTGTACAAGTTAAACTTAAAAAACAACAAATGCTCTGGTAGCACTTTATAGACTAACAAAACATGTAGATGGTATCATGAGCTTTTATGGGCACAGCCCACTTCTTCAGATGACCGGAGTTTTAGCTTGGTAGCTTTAGGAGTTCAGTCTGTGTCGGTTTTAATTCTAGAAAGACCCTATTTCCAAAAAAACAAACACACACTTTAGATTTTTCTTCTTAAAGTGGGGAATGTCTTAGTAATGGTAAAAGGGCAGACTCTTTATCTGAAGTGGAAAATTAGAACAGACATGCCAACAAAGAAAATACACAATTCACATGTGATGTGGCACGTTGTTCCTGGAAATAACATTGCCTGTGGGAGATTTATTCCTGTAGATTTTAGTCTCTGACCATCCTTTCCCCTATCCAATAATTCCTCAGATTTAAATATTAAGGATAAGAAAGTTCTATGCATAGATTCTGCTGCTTGTTAACTCTTTGGTGATGGGGATGCAGTGATGAAAGAGGGGGCGCTCACAAATTTGTTCTTGTGGGCATGTTGCATTAGAAAAGTCTGTGGCCTATCACCAAAGTGTTAATGGGATTTGTACCCGGCATTCCCACGCATCAGATAGAAATTTAAAAAAGGAAAAGTGAGTAACAAATAATTTACAGTGTTTAAATTCAGTATGCTAGTGACATGTACTATGGGTGATAATTTAAGGCTTTTCTAGAGGGTAATGAACACTATGGAGGTGTGATTTCTAAAGCACATTTATTATTCCATGTAGATTCTTCTGGTGCACTCTAAAGGTTCTATTATGAAATATTATTTCAAATGACACTACATTAAAGCAGGGCCCATCCAATGAAGCATGCATTAGTAGTGCACTTCAGAAGCACACACTGCTGTACCATGTAGACAAGCCCTCAGTCCCTCCTGGTATATAACTGTCCCTATGGCTACCACCAAAAAGAGAGAGCCCAACAACTTGCCTGCTGTTGACTGATGCTAAATTAATTAGTTGGATGTTCTAAGGCTCAATTCAAGGACACATGGAAAAAAATTGTAATTCAGTAGCAGAGAGCACCAAGACCATATTGCAGGAGCTGCTGGACTCCACACCACCAGCTGGGGCCCCCTGCGCTTGCTTATTGCAGAAAAGGCTGTAGTCATTCTCCCTGAACTGGGTTATCAATGGCTTGTGTAGTCAATATCCGGGGGTAGATGAAAGGAGAGAGCCATAGGACTGAGAAGAGAGAGGAAGGAAAGCTTAAGCACTGAGGCCTGGAAACAAGAATATATATCATTCAGCATAGAGTGATTTTGTAGTGGGAATTTTAAAGGGAAATGTAGTATTGGAGACAAGAAACAGAGAGCCAGGTTGTTCACAGAGAGATGATATTTACCTCTTTGGCATATTTTAGCCAGTGTGATAAACACAGCACTGTGTGAAGTGCTTATTGGATTTGAATAAGCTCTTCATGAATTGAGCAGAAGCCAGCAATAAGTTAATTGTAATTAAATTAATAGCTAATGAGTGGAAAACAGTCCGTTACTGCTATGCTGGCATCTGATCTTTCCAATGGCCAGGTTCTTGCCTGCAAACAGGTCCTGTAGGCAGGTCTTGTGGACCGGTTCTTCCGCTTGCCTGCATATTGGGTCCTGTAGGCAGGTCCTTCTGCCTGCCTGCAGATGGAGTCCTGGGGGCAGCGCCTGCTGTTTGCCTGTGGGAAATAGGCTGTTTTTTAAAAAAAAGAACCAGAAAGAACTCTTCTCTTTTTTTACTGCTGTGCGGCAGTTGCATCTTGACCCTTGAGGATGAGAATGTGTTTAAAGACTTCCAGTGCTCCCTGGATATTAAAAAGAAATGATGATGGGATTTGCAATTTTTACAAATAAAAAAATGACCATGATGCTTGATATAAACAAGGAATTGTGGAAATCTGTCTAATCATCAGAATTTCATCTGAGTCCCTTTGCAGTGTAAATTATTTATTTAGGGTGACAGTATGCAACTCTAATATGTTAAATAAAGCAAAAAAAATTTCATTATAAAAAACAGAAGAGCACACTCAAATGTAAAAAAAAACCAAAACAACCCCAACCCTCCATTATTATCCAGAGCTAGATTGAGCAATTCTTTTTAGGTATTTCCACAGATGTACTAGATGTATTAGTAAGTAATCACCAGTGTGAGGAAGGGATGAGTGAGGGACTCAAAGAGGTGAAGTTCTGATGATTAGACAGCACACCTACCTGCACACTAATGTCTGTTTAATGAGAACACTGAGAGAAAAACCCCTCCAGTCTCCATCAAAGCTTTGGGAACTTCCATTCTCCCTGCCTTCTCAACACATGAAAGGATAGTACTCAGTCTCATCCAGGCCTCTCAGCCTGACATTCTTAGGTGTATTCTGTGGGACTGTTCTCCAGTCCAGGCCTCTCAGCCTGACATTCTTAGATGTATTCTGAAGGACTGTTCTCCACTAGTCTGTTATATTTATTTCAGACAGTACTGTACCATGTTAGTGTTGGTCAATACGTGTTGTCACATCACCATCTGATAATGCAGTATTGTTATGCACTGATGCAACAACCGGACCCAAAGAGTCAAATTTGGTGACTGATCTATAGTCCCTGTAGATGTAGGAATATTAAATTGACAGAATGCAGGCCTTTTTTTTTATTGCTTGCTCTTACTGTGAGTTCCATGTCCTCCTCTTCCTTTTCCTTTACAGGTTTTTCTGGTTCCTCTGGCTCCTTCTCTTGTAGATGGATCTCATGGGCCTGAGACATGTAAGGCATGTCATCTTTGTTCTTGAACTCCAAGCTGAGAATTGAAGGAGGAAGTAGAATTCCTAGAATTACCTAAAGCAATAATAATGATAATGATAATAATAATCACAATTGAAAGGTTATGATTATGGTGGTTGCTTAGTATCAAATGGAACAAACCCCTTGGGGAAAATCTGAGAATCAAACATTTCAGTGTGTAAGTTTCAGTGGCACCTGAAAATCTATCATTTTAGATTAGCTTCCCTATAGTCCTCTGAAAAACATAGATTGCCTTGCAACATAGCCATATAATGTCTAGCAAACACATTGTGCTGAATAATTTATCCACCCCTTAATTGCTCATAACAAACATATTGTTACAAGTTAGAACAATTAGTAATTACAATACTAGTTAGTAGGCAGAACCAACAATTTTTGGCACATCGCACAGTAGAGTGTTCCAGTGTAAATGTGATTCACAAGAAATAGTAGGCAATAGACATAGCCCTCTGCAGTGAGTGTTAGGCTGTTTCTACACTACAGAGCCTGGCATAGCTATATGCTGGTAGAGCTCACTAGTAAAGACACTGCATAAGCCAACAGAAGGAGTTTTGCCATCTCCCCAAAAGGCATTAGCTATACAGGCAGTCCCCGACTTACGTCGGATCCGCACTTACGAATGGGGCTTTTCTCGCCCTGGACTTCCCCCCAGCACAGCAGGGAGACAGGAGCAAAGCCGCAGAGGCGGCGGGACCTCTGTGCCTCCGCCGCTTTGCTTGGATCTCCCTGGTCTGCTGGGGGAGGAGGGTGCGCAGCTAGTGCGCCCCGCCTGGGGGAGGAGGGTGCGCAGCTAGTGTGCCCCGCCCCAGCAAACCAGGCTTTTGTTGCAGGACACCTGGGGTAGAGCAGCTGGGGTGCTGCCGGGTTGGTCCTGCAGGGACCTACCTGGCAGCGCTCCCCAGGAGTCCAGATTCAGCCGCTGTTGAAACTGATCAGCGGCTGATTCCAGGACGCTGGGGGCAGAGCAACTCTGCCTAGGGCTTCCTGTAGTCAGCCGCTGATCAGTTTCAGCAGCGGCTGAATCTGGAGCCAGTTCCGACTTACATACAAATTCAACTTAAGAACAAACCTATAGTCCCTATCTTGTACGTAACCCGGGGACTGCCTGTACTGACAAAAACACTCTTCTGTTGGCATAGTTACATCTACATTTTGGAGGGGAATGATTTTTTGACACAGCTGAGTCAGCAAAATGTGGTGCAGATCAGTGCTTAGTAAGTTCCCTGTGCTCCCTTAACTTGCAAGTACATAGGCTACAATAGGTCAGGGCAATGGCATGAGTGAGTCTGAGGAGATGGACTTTAAAGTAATCTACAGCATGCAACTTATGTGCCTAGCTGTTCAATCTTGGCAGCCATGCAGCACTCCTCCCATCAGTGTGGGCTCATATTCTCCTGTGTTCGCAGTGTTGTGCTGTGCCTCAATTTTACCTTCTGCTTATACATGCAACACCCTACACCTGGGTTATGTAGGATCAAGTCCATCATGGTTTGGCTCTTTTGTACCTTCCCCCACGCCCCCCCAAAGGTTGATTTTTGCCTGAATCTCATGGAATAAATCATTTTATACATATCTTTAATGTATACTTCAGTAATGCCAATGGAATTAGTAGGCTTGTTGACATCCATGAGGCAACTCTATCCCATGAGAGAAAACACACTCCTGCTTTGTCTACTGGTACCTAGTGGTGAACATGTAGGGCATTGCATAGGTCATTCCAGGTGTCTGGACTGGAGTTGCTCTGCTTTTACAGTACATCTCCTCCCAACACTGCCATATAGTGCATTAAGCTGCCTTGACCACAGCTGCATGAAAAAGTCTATGCTGTTCTACTGCCTAAAGAGAGTTGCTTCAGGGAGGGAAATTTAATGGTTCATGGAATAAAGCCAACAATAAGCTGAGTGTGGACAGCTGGGAGGAGCCGGTGTTGGAATAAACCAGAAGGAAAATGGATTTATCACCTTGAGGAACTTACCATGCAAAGGAAAAAGCAAGGGGGAGAGGGGAAAGGGTAGATTCACTTCATTAAGCTAGAGCTACTGAATAATCAACAACTGGAACATCTCAAAAGTCAGGAGGGCCAGGACCTCCAAAGAAAGCAAGAGAGTAAGGGCACATATGGTTTCGGAAAACTTGTGGCTATGGGGGAGGACTTTTCAAAATGCAAGACAAAAGTCCTGATTTTACAAAGAAAGGTATTTGTGCAGAGCTCTGACACAAGTGAGACAAGAATCTTATTAGCCACTGACACTCATTTCTTAGTGAGTGCGCATTAGTTCCCCTGTGACAGTGATATATTTACATCTGTACTGTTCATAATTATTTTCTTGGATACATGCTTTTGCAGCACAGGAATAGCCAAAAGCAAAGGTTGATTTTCTCATGTAAATCTGATAAAGGTGAAGGAATGCCCCTGTTAGGGAATATCACTTGAAGGAATTCCCTGTTAGGGAATATCACCACAAAACATAACTAAAATGGCAATCCTTGCCCTGACTGGTGAATACTGTGGTGAAGGTGAATGTACCACAGCTTAGTTCCTCTTGGACGGAAACAAATGCCCATTAGAAAACACCACTCTCATTGACTGTTTTACCAAAGTTTAAGTATGAGATTGGCTTGACTGAATTATCCTCCACATCTCCTAAGGGTGGTCCACTCAGGTCAGGTAAGAGGCAGCTTGACCTGGGACTACACGGGTATTTGCACTATTGGTGTGCATGTTTGTTCTAAGAACCATTCTCCAGGGTTGTTAATTTAGCACCTTTCACTAGTAATAAATTCACTCCTCATACACCCTTTTAATTGATTATTATTTTTTTAAATGACAACTTAACCCTGAAGTCTCCAGTTAGAGAAACATTCTGAAGCTCTGGCTCAGTTTTTATGTGAGCAACCCTCCTATTGATTTTGGAGAGAGTTTTGACCAAGGATTGAGTAAGGAGCTCAGGATTTGGGACAGCAAGAACGTGTACTTTGTGTCATCACTATAAAAACAAACAAAAAACCAGGGCCATGCAATTAGTTTATTAGGACATCTAGTTGTTGCTGATTTGCTATCAACCCCCTCGCCATCCCCCAGATCTCTTGCTCTTAATTGATACTAAGGCAGTGCTGACCTTTAGACCTGAATTTTTGCGCATCCGGAGTCGGCCCATCCACATGTCTGTGAGCAGCATTTGGCTACAAGTGTGAGCAATGAAATCTCGGTGTTTGGCTGCCACTGCGAGCTGCAGGCATGTGGCATTACTCCAGTTCTTCAATTCGTAGGTCAGCAGTTTCATTGCCAGCTGCTCATCCTGCTTATACGATTGGTCCAACAGCTCCACCGCCAGCTGGCCAAAATCCCTGCAACAAAGGGCATTTTCATTAGCCAGCACACACTGTTAGTGATAGCTCCTGAAAGAGCTGCATCACACGCCATGGAAAGCAGTCGTGACGCTCACTGTATATGGAGGCCCACAGTTTCAAACCTGAAAGCCTGAAGTTAGGCACTTAAATAAATGGCCTGATTTAGATGTATTGAGTACCCACTGCTCCTAAACATCTGTTCCCACCTGTCTGCCTGCTGTTCTCTCTACTGCTGCTGGGCAATCCAGGGCCCCATTGCTAGTCCATGACCTCACGGTCTGGTACTCTGTAAAGGGAGGCTTTATTAATCTCTGTCCCTGCAATGTTCAAATTCCTTTTGGTCTTTGATTCATGGATTTTAAAGCCAGATGGGATTATAACGTTTTAGTCTGATCTCCTGACAGGTAGTCTGATTTCTCAATTAATTACTTCCTGTGCCTGGATATTACTGCAGTAAATTTCAAACTGCATTTCATTGGGATGGGATAGTGACTCAAACAAACATGTTCTGGCTCTGGTGGCCTCAAGATTGAGGAAATCATACAGTCAGTACAGAGGCTCCATTCACCTTTTAGCTTCTGTTTTATCCATTTCAGAAGTTGCACTCTTTGCAGTGCAGATATGGTGTGCTCAGATTTCATAAGGGCTTTGTTAGCATGCCCCTAAAAGCCACTCCCTTGGCTTTGAGGGGACTGCATTGTCCCTACAGCTATAGCAGTTAAAGCAAACCACTCCTCAGATGATGACTGGCAGTTTCAGCTGCCTCTCTTTGCTACTCCCCAGAAAGTATGCATGAAAGCAAATCAACCTGGAGTTGTGGTTCAGCTCCTGGGAGATGTCATCTACCATGTCATTTTCTGATGCCTCATGGGCCATGGCTTTGCAGAGTTTACAGGCCACTAGAGCCTTAGCCATGGCCTCCTCCCCATGCTGCCAGAAAAAGAGGGCCATCTTCTGACGCTTCATCAGCACGGCCCACACCATCAGTTCATGGAAGGGGAAAGGGAAATGGTTAATCTCAGGATCATCCAAATCAATATCCACTTCTTCTTCTCGCTTTTTTGTGGTCTTCCTTCCCCTTCGCAAAGGAACGTCATCCTGCCAAACAAGGAGAAAATGTGGTGCTAGGGAACAATATGATTCAGTGAGCACTGGACACAGAAGACAAGCTGATTCCCTCACCACAGGCACATGTAACTTATTTTCTTTTAATTGATGATTAGACTGACTAATTATTCACGATGACCAGCCCACATTGTGAGCTTCCACGAGGAGAATTTCTGCTGCTTCCCACTCCTCCTCCCTACACAAACTTACATAACTAATTTGACATTCACTGAAAATAATAATTCACAGAGTCAACGCGATGCATATGAAATACTGATGCAACACTCCCAGCTCCTGCCTGGAGACTGCAAATGTCAACCTAACCTGGTCCTTCCCTGGGTCAGTGCAGAGCACAATCACAATGTGCCCAGGTCGCTCCTGGGAAAGCCACCAAAGCTTTTGGTTTGTCTATATTTATCTCTGAATGTGAATGTTTAACCATCTTACTGGGGTGGATGCATTCACCTCTTTCTACTCTTAAGAGAACAATCGGGGGGATACTAGAGGATGCTTCATCCAAAGATGATAGGAGGGCATTGATTTGTCCTTTCCCCACTTCTGTCTCCTTCTTAGACTTCTCCCCTCCTCACCCAACTAGGGAAGTTGCCTCTAATCCTCTCTCTCCTCACGTACAACCCCATGGTCTCAATTTGGTGTCCTTTCTTCTCCCCCTTTCCCCTCTTATTCCATGTTATTTCTTCTTGATAACTTGTCCTATTTATTCCCTTCCTTTCATCTTGTCCTATAACTTCCCTTCATCCTTCTGTTCCCAGACTGCATGTGCTGGACTCTGTATCTTGCGTGAGCAGTGAAACTTATCGTACAAAATCTCAGCTCTCTGAAGTGTATTGTACAGCATTACCGAGGCTGAAGGATGTGGTGTACTTGAGGTTGGCTAAAACACTGACATTATATGACACTAATGCTCTCCATTCTCTCAGCTCAGATTCTCAAGTCAAGATATTGTTTACTTTGTAAACAATATTCAAGTAAAATTATTTAAATTAGATGTAGTTAAAAAGTGAACATAAAAGCAACATTTATAGCCCTTATGATATTTACAAAATAATTAAGGCTGGGATTTGTGAAATGTCAATGGGAGCACAGACAGGACAAAGTGGAGGGATTTTGAGAATTCCAGCCTAAACAGCATGTAAAATAATCTTTAAAAACTATACTTCAGTGCTTTGCATTTTCCTTAATTAGGATGCCACAGAAATTGCTACAGAATCCAACCACTCGACTCAGAATAAGGCTCCTGAATTGACATTTTCATTTAAAAAAAGTGTCTACCCATATACTTGTAAAGAAAACCTTCAATATATGAGAAAAGCACAAAACAGTGCAGTGATAGTCTGCGGAGTCTGCAAACAGACAGCTTGAAACAACTGCTCTGAGAAGTGCAAACCACTGTCACATTCAGTTCACGTTGAAGTTTAAAAACAATCTAATAGTTAGCAATTTCCCTGGTGGCTATGGGCTGGATTCAGATACCCTTACTCACATTAAGTAGCGCCTTCTCCCTCGTATAGTTCCACTGAAGTAAACAGGACTATTTGTAGAGCAAGGCACTACTTAATATAAATAGCAGCATGTGAATCGGACCCTATTTTAGCAGAAACATTAATGTAATGTGGTAATCTATCCATTGCTGTCTGATGTGGTAGCAGGTATTTGGCTACAGACAGCAATGCATCTAGTTTCTGTTCAAAGATTCTGGAGTGGCAAAGTGGAACTTTGTGCTTTCCTACACCTCAAACAATTGCCTCTAATCTTTTCTACAAAGGGAAAAGAAGTCAAAAACCTCACCCATATCAATGGAAGTTCAGCTTCATGTACTATATTTGATTCATCTCTCTGAAAACCTTCTCTTTTTCTAGTTGTTGGATTGGGATACTTACTGGTTTCAAATAGACTGTACTATTTACAACAGTATGTACTGATTTCACCAACAGAGACTTGAAGCACAGCAGGATTTACCCTCCCTTCCCCAACACTTTACTTTTTTAGTTTGTCTAGGGAAAGCATACGAAGAATCTGATTTTCTATTTGCATTTAGATAAACACTTTACCTTAGTGGAAAATACAATGCTGTATGTGTGAACAACCTCTCCTAAATCTGGGCAATTTTTAAATTATATTAATTACAAGAAATCTCAAGTTGTATAATGCTGATGAACTTTTTTGGTGAGAAAGGGAAGAGAATTTAACACTAAGGTTTATTACGTCACGTACCTCCATTCCCAGCAGTTTCAGGGCTTTTGGCTGTACAAAAAAAGAGTTTAAAAATCTATTATATTTCCAATTCATACCAACACCATTTTAAACAAAATTATATATTCCTAGTTATCCCCACTCCCCTAAAATTCCTTGCATAAATTTGGCTCCTCGCCTAAGTTAGAGCAGCTTTAATTTGTGCAGGATGGCAGCAGACATGAGGGCATCATTCCATCAGTTGAGGATCTCTGGAGTTCACTAGCATTCTGGGAATGTACGCTTCACCTGACAATCCTCCTAACAAGAAGCTGCAAAAGAGGGGGCATTCTGCTGGCTCTGCATCTCTCTCAGGGATTCTCCCAATTCCTCATAGTACTCCCAATTCCTCGATATATGGCCCTTTTCTTTGTATTGCTTCAGCAATTCAAAGGGATCAAGGATCTGGCCCAAAATTTATCAGACCTTAATTTATATCGCTTTTCCTCTGAGTGGCTGAGGGAGGGGAGCATCTTATTACTGAAAAACAAAAAAACAAACAAACGAACAAAAAAAAAAACCCCAACAAAAACAGCAAACTAAATTGAAATGACAGAAATGCCATACACAAAATGGAATTGGCAAAAACAAACAAATAAACAAACCCAGCAGGTCTCCAGTTTTCCTTTGATGTAAACATTTCATAGAAGCTGTTGTACTAACAGGTCCATTGTTTGCTAGGATGAGATCGTCAGAGTCATATATGTCTCTAGAATGTGAACCCATATGTGAAATATTTATGTTGGCTAGAGAATAAGCTAAGAGAAGCTAGTTTAAGCAGAAGTTTCAGAAAGACCAAACTCTGCTTTCAGTTGTACTTCTGTGAATCTGAAGGGACTTCATTAAAGACAAGAATAAACAGCACTTTGTTTTATAAGGACTGAAGAAATACTCAAGTTTGACACCAGTATAATGACAAAAATACAAAAATTGTGCCTTGGTTCTATCCAGAGTTATAATTTTACCTGCTCTGAAATCTTGATGTGACTACCAAAGGGTTGAGCACATACTAGGGAAATTTCTCTCTCTTAATTCATGTATTTCAGTGTAACTGCAGTACACTACCTATTACAGGGACTGATTCAAAACCCATGAAAGTCAATAGAAAGACGCTCATTGCCTCTATAAGACTTTGTATCAGAACCATTCACAGTGTCATATTAATAGCTTTTAATGTCAGAAGAGACCATGATGATAATCTAGTTTGATCTACATAACACAGGCCAAAGAACCTCACTCAGTAATTTCTGTATCCAGCCCATAAAATAGCTTGCAGTGAGGCAGCTGCTCTGCTATGCACAAAACCTTGATCATAGTGAATGGTTAATTAGAGAGAATTGTTGCTTTTTAAAAAGCTAGAACACACTAGCATTCTTTATGCTAGATTCAGGCCAGTATCAGCTGAATGGTAGCAGCAAATGGCATGTATGTATTGAGTCGTCTTCTTCTAACTTCTGTGATGGGTTGAGAACTATCAAAATTCAGCTCCTAACTAAATTGACTCCCAACACCTTTTTTGTATCACTGCATCAGAACTGCAGTATTACTGGTGAAGAAATACCAATTTCTTACCCTTTTGGGTCCAAACAAGTTGTGGTAGAGGGTTCTAAACCGTTTTCGGGTGTAGTTGCAGCGATAAGCTCCTCCCATTAGATACTCAATCACCAGGCCAATATCAATCAGACTTATCCTGTAATCTGGAGGTAGGTTACCCTATTAAATTAAAGAAAAAGAAACAGAGACAAAGCTGATTAGTACAGACACCATTTCCAGTTTCCTCTAACTATATTAGAGAAAAACAAATACAATTAGGTAAGAAACATAAGAATGTATTATGCTGGTTAATTAATTCACCTTAAAATAGATCCAACCGAAACCTGGATATTCTCGCTTGGAAAGAAGACATAAGTAAATAAGAATGTGTAGTAATCCTTGACAGTAACAGAAGCTAATGATGTCAGAAAACAGTACTCAATTTCTTCTGTTGAGGGAAGGAACAAGAAATACCACTGCAGAACAAAAAGCACAAGGACCAAGCATTTTCTTAAAGGTGACGCACGCTTGCTGAATTCTAGTCCCTCTGGGATGAATGTTTTCTCACAATATGGGCGTAGCAGCTCTTGTTTGCACTGGTACATATTTGGGCTGCCTTCTCCATCAGTCCACTGGGAAGGCAACTCGTCTGCATACAGATGCTTTTGCAGCTCCTAAATTGTGATTTCTGTTTTCTAAAAGCACGTTTCTACACCAAATTTTTTAATAGTTATCATTCATCAAACCAAAGGAAGGGGAGGAAGAGGTTTCATTAGCAAGGAATCCACTGTCGTGAACTTAAATCTCTTTTGCTTGAAATGAATATTTCAAAAAACTTGTTAATGTGTCATCAATCTGCTTTGTAGAAAACATTTAGCTGGCTCAAAGTGCCTGCTTTCTTTGTTTTACATGCATATGCCAAGAATGAGGTGAGCATCAAGTAATTCTGAATCTTATCCAGTCCTGTTCTTTTTAGGAGCAAATATCACACTGCCCTCTTGTGGATTCAATGCTTTTTATTTTAAGATCCTTTTAATGGTAAGTTTTCTGCACAGGGTTATATATATATATATATACACACACACACAAACTTCCAGTAAATTCCAGAGGGGGATACTGAACTCATTTGACATATACTGCTTTGAAAAAAAAATCTTGATATCCTGGGTCACCCCTGGAATTTTGGGTGCTTTTGTGTTGACCCTCACTCCTGAGTTCTCAGTCATTGTTCCACTGCTTCTTATCCTTCTTGATACTGGAATAAATTCATATTAATTTCCCAGGCCATTATAAAGCACCTTTCATTTAAAATGGAAAAGGCCAACAGTAAATAAATATACAGAATATTTATGGCTCCAACTTTGTGCACTCCCTAGCCCATTCCCTTCTACTCTCGGTTATCAATGCTGCTAATAATGACCCAAAGGTCACGAGTTCCATGCAGCTTACTACATGTGAAGCTGTGAAATCAGACCTTAAAACAGCTCTCTCTGTCCTGCATAAAAAGTGAGTTCTGCTCAGACACTGCCGTGATGAGAGTGGTATAAGAGCATACATAGAACAGAATGGAATGGTTTGGAGAATGACAGGTCCTCTCTTCTAGTCCTTTGTATACAAGAGCTGATCATCAAAATCCCATAGAACAGTGCCCCCACAGGTCTCCCATGACAGAGATACAAGGATGGAAGGATAATCCTACAAAGATGGCATTTGGCTTCCTTCTCATTTCAATGGGGAATTCTGCAAGAGAAAGCTCTGGTCCACTCACAGAGCAGAGGGCTAATCAGGGACTAAGTTGGGGATAGGTCTTTTCAAAAACATTTTTTTAATACAAATTTGTGCTTGGGAACAATTTGCAAACTGAAAAGAGGCATAATTAATAAAAATCAGTAGTTTTGAATAATTTGCCGAACTCTGATAATAATATTAGTAAAACTCCAGATAAACTAGTTGTTATAGAAAACTTTACAATTTTGGGCTAATTAGACATGGAATTCATCCTAAGAGACCAGTGAGTTCATCTGTGAAAACAGAACTGTATCCCAGGGGAAAATGGTAGCTTTTATAGTAAAACCAGAGTAAGGCAGCACAATTTCAATTTTTATCTTAAAACTATATTTAATGTCCTCTAGTTAAACCATCATGTTTACAGTCCATGCTGCATATTATTACAGCAGTCAATCTGTAGTGTTCTTAATATCCTTACACTGAGGCTATTAATTTAAAATAATTTATTTTATGAATATTCTTTTTTCTCATTGGGATTATTTTGCAGACAGAGGTCAGTAGAGATTCTCTGTGTTTATTGATTGGGAGTATCGTAAGTCATAAATTATAAAACTCTGTGAGGAACAAACTGTGATTATTTTAGGAATGTTTGAGAACAATTTATGATTTCTGTGAGAGATCCTAAAGTGTCTGTATCTGGCCAGCTATATGCTTGCCTTCTCCATGGTCTTTCTACCTCCGTGTTGGATTGGAATTCCAAGGGGTAGTGATATAGGGCTAATAATAAAAGGGTCATTAATTTGGGATGAGCCTCTATTCAAATAAAAACATCCAAGACATCAGATGGGTTCCCACACAGAAGAACTAGTTAGTTGGGAGAAAGGCTGCTGGTAACAAGGTCTCCTAGTATGAGTCTGGGTCACCTAAGGAGGCTGATCCAGGAATCAACTGACAGAAGGACTGGAAGGCAGTAAAAGGGTTCACAAGGGGGAACCCTCAGAGAGAGACTCACCGGGAATTTGGGCAGGAGAGGAGAAGCAGATGGACTATCCAAGGTCTGAGAACCCAAGGTTGGGAGAGAAGGCTCCATGTTTGAAAATCCAAGCCATGCACAATGAACAGAAAGATCCTGGATGGTCCAGATAGTCCTGACATATCAAGCCAAAGAATGCTCTGAGGTGATGAGGAAACTGAGGTAGGAAAAGGCACGCGTGGTTTATTATTTTTATATAGATGCAGGTATTTCTCAGGATATTAAAGAACGATCATGAATGTGTTAGAATTTGGGGCAATGTCTGTCTGTGCTCTGTGCTACACACACCATGTGCTCTGAAAAAGTTACACTGCAGCCAGAATGCCAAGCAAGGCTGGAGGTCTGGGAAATATATATACCAAACTATGGGGGGGGGGGGGGGACTCTGAAGGGGTTTGCACTCATTAGAGAGCAGTGCTGCAGGGAGGGGGGGCCAGTCCAGTCCAGTATGGCATACTGAAAAAACTCCTTGCTGGCCATCCCCAACCCCTATACTGGCTAACACATCTTGGTGCACAGGTCTGGGGCTTGAGAGCGTGGGGCTGGCAGCACAATGGCAGCTGGAGGAACTGCCGTCCTTCTGTTCTTTCCCCGTGGCCCTGCCCAACAGGGAAAGGAGCAGACCTGCCAGCCCCACCACCCCAGCTTTGTACGTAGACACATAGCAGCTCTGTGGAGGGGCAGGGCTGGGAGTTCTGCTCCTTTTCCTGCAGGGAGGGACAGCAAGGAAAAGGCTCTTTTCCCTACTGGGAGGGGCAGCGCTCTCTCCCCACCCCCAGCCCTCCCTCCCCTCAGGTAATGTGGTGTGAATCCGGGAAGGGAAGAATGTGGGGCCCTGGTCTAGAGGCGAGGTCGAGTCCCAGAGGGAGGCCATGTGTCCCCTTAGCTGGTGCGCCCTCCCCTGTCTGTACCAGTAAGAACTTTTGTTTCCTTGTACCACTGCTACAGGGACTAGGCAGTGGCTCTCCAGTGCTCCGTACAAAAGGCTGAACCTAGTAGGCATGATCTGTTCATGTGACCATTACATTTTTTTATGCTGTAATACCGATTAACTGGTAACATGTGGGTTCTGGGCAGTGTAATGGAAAGGGGCTACTCACCTTGTGCCTCTCTTCTTAGAGAGAGTTGTCCTTGCAGGTGCTCCACTTCAGGTGTCCCTGCACTTCTAGATGGAGACTTTTAGTAGCAGTCTCCTGATTGCCCAGGCTTGTGGGACAGCCGTCTCACACAACTCCACATAGCTATCTCAGGCATGCAGCCAACTATCATTCATTTCCTTCTCTCCCCAAGAAAATTGAGTGGAAGCTCCAAAGTAGAGGGGAAGAATGGGGGGTAGTGGATCACCTACAGGGACAACCTTCTCAAAGAACCTCTGTTACTGCACAAGTGGAGTAACCTTCCCCCCTCCTTCGAGAAATATCCCTGTGAGGGCTCCACTTTAGGAGATGCAGTGCCCCTCAGAAGGGAAGAGGGGCTTCGGAGTTGGGGCTTGTACAGTAGAGAGCACCGTTATTCCAAAATGAGCATCTGAAGCGGACTGCTGTTCCAGGGTGTAATATTTGGTGTAAATATGGGGAGATGCTCTGCTGGCTGCTTTACAGATATCAAATGAGGGATACATGTTTGAGAAAAGCTAGGGATGTGGACATAAGATCTAGTGAAGTGTGTGCAAAGTCCAGAAGGAGCTTGCAAATTGTAATTTTGGTAGCATAGTTTGATACAATTATAGATCCATTTAGAAAGTTTCTGTCTAGAAGTGGTTTGGCCTCTTGATAGTTGTAGATATAAATAGCCTGGACAATTTTATGAATGTTCTTGTTTTTGCTTCATAGAATGTCAGTGCTCTGCCAACATCTGGTGGGTGAAGGGATGCCTCCTTTTTGTTGGCACGCGTCTTGGGGAAGAATACAAGTTACTAAATGGATTCATTAAGATGGAAGAAAGAGGCAACTTCTGGTATTACTTTGTCCTTGAGGAATGTGGTATAAGTCAGGCATGCCATTAGGGCACCCAATTTTCCCACTCCTCATGCTGATGTGATTGCTACTAAAAGGTGACCTCCATGGATAAGTGTAACAACAAACGGGTTACTAGCAGTTCAGAGTGTTTGCCCAGGAGGACACAGAGAACAAGATTGCAGTCCCACATAGGGTTGGGTCACTTATCCCACATTAAGGGTTCTCAATAACCCTGAGAAAGTGCTTAGTCAGTGAAGACAGTGAGTCCATCCACCTTGTCATAAAAAGCGGGGATGACTGATATGTGCACTCTGAATGAGCTAGCTGAGGTGCCAATTTTTTTGAGTGTCAAATGTAATCAAAGATATTGAGTAACAGGAGGTGCCAATTTTTTTGAGTGTCAAATGTAATCAAAGTTAGTGAGTAACAGAACCGATCGAGGAATGATTTGCTTGTCTTTGCACCAAATGAATCTTTTCCACTTGTGTGCGTACATTTTTTGTGTGGAAAGATGTCAGCTTGGACCTCTGTGGAGCAGCAGCATGTTTTAAGTTCTGTCATCCCTGGGTTAGCTATGCCTTGAGAAGTGTTAGATTATTGAGCAATGGAGGTGTCCTGCATCCTGTGACAGTAGGTGA